ATCATTGAGTCTGTCCTGTGTTCATCCATAACTGTCTGGTTTGGTTCAGCTACCAAATCAGACATCAAGAGACTACAACGGACAGTCAGGACTGCTGAGAGGATTATTGGTGCCCCTCTGCCCAGCCTCCAAGATCTTTACATCTCCAGAGTGAGGAAAAGGGCTAAAAAAATCACCTTGGACCCCTCACACCCAGCCCACTCTCTCTTCGAACTGTTGCCTTCTGGTCGGCGTTACAGAGCACTGACGACCAGAACAGCCAGGCACAAGAACAGTTTTTTCCCACAGGCTATATTCAGCCTGAACAATTAATGTTTCATAATTATACATAGTCCATCACAACTAACAGTTATATTTATATCAAACTGCACACTTTGTAAATAACATATCTGCACACTAATAAACATATCTGTACATTTATCTAAACAATTAAATTTTTTCCTATACTTCTATTTCTGTATATAGTACATTATTAAATTTTAATTTTTTTATTATATTAGTGTTATATTACATCCCTACTGTGTTATTCCTATGTATGTCTGCACTATCATGTATGTCTGCACTACGTTTGTACTTTCTTCTACACTGGAAGCTCCTGTCGTCAAGTCAAATTCCTTGTGTGTGTAAACATACTTGGTAATAAAGCTCTTCTGATTCTGAGACCCGGAAGTCCATGGCGGAAGCTGAGCGACGACCGACCGAGTTTGTCCGGATGTTTGAGGAAGCCCAGAGGAGTCCTAGGGCAAACGGGCCTCGGTGGAGCCGAAGGAATGCAGAGCCGGAGCGGAGTCGAGGGGCTGACAGGCCGAGGTGGAGACATGGGCCTGGAGTGCAGCCGGGGACTTGGCACAATACCGAGCTGGTGGAGGGGAAGCCTGAGGCGAGACTGAGGAGCCGCTCGGAGCTAGTGGCGGAGGCAGAGCCGAGGAGCTGGACGACACCAGTGGGGCCGATGAATCCAGGGGACTGGCTGAAACCAGCGGAGGAGATGGGACCAGGAAATCTGACAGGGACATCGGAGGAGGAAGATCTCTGGAAGGGACTGGAGCCTCTAACAATCCGGACGGGACCGCCGAAGAAGACAAAGTTTTGAGGGTGGGTACTTGTGTGGGAACTGGATCTGTGGACCACAGATCTATGAGGTTCATGTCCGCTTCTGGCTTTAAGGTGGACTGATCAGTGTGACTGATCAAAGCAGTCTCCGTGGCTTTGGTGGACTCCGGCTCTGGTTCCTGGATGAGCCCTGTTGGTGACTCGGGCTCGCTGACTGTGAGGGAGAGGCCGCCATTCTGGAGCATCTAGCCCAAATACTCCAGCCACCTTCGGCTTTCTGGACTGAGGAGGAGACGTAACGCTGGTGAGTCCTTTTTTTTTGCGGTCGGTTATTCTGTTATGGGTTGTCGAGGAATGAGGACAGCAAACGAAGATGCATACTTCCAAACAGACTTTACTGAGAATACTGATTTGGTACAACACATAACATAAGCTAATAACCGACAAAGGATAGAACAGAATCAGGACTATAAGTACACACATGGTAAATGAGGGAACTAAACAGGAACATCTGGACAAGGATTAACTAATCAGAAACCATGGTAGCTAATGAGGGCTCATAACAGACGTGACAGGAACTGAACTAAACTGAACATAATCGTGGCAATCCCGTGGTAACTAGGATTTACACAAGCTTCAGTCTGGATCCAGAACACCTGAGAAGAGATGATGCCAACCCCTCAGAGGACCTCAGATGATGCCAACCCTGAAACAACATACAGAACTATCAAATAGTGCTATAAGTTTGATTGCATCATATAATAATTGCTGTTAATAGTGTTCATCGTCTGTTTGATTACGTCTTTAATTGATTTTTCCATAAATTTCTGCCATATGTACATTAACTGACAGTCCCCACTGATAAGCTACTACTAAATATTGTAGAAACTTAATTTGCTGTAAAGTTGCTTTGCAATGATTTGTATCGTGAAAAGCGCTATACAAATAAACTTGAATTTAATTAATTACAGTGTTAACAATAAAATAATAACAATACTAATAATAAAGAAAAAAGTGGAAAAGGGTAATGAATATACCACACACACAAAAAAAGAAACAATACATTTGGAATTATTTACATGCATAAGCTGTAGAGCAAAAGCAACATAATCAGGCAATATTACAATAGTAATTGGATTTAAAAACTATTCATGTGAGCATGTTGTTTTGTAACTTGTAATGTAAATATAACTAACCCAAATATTTTTCCAGAGACCTTGGCATTAGTGAATATTGTCAGTATATGATTTTCATTTGGGTTCTGTCTCTTCACCTGACAGATACAATTACGGGAAAGGATGAAGTCTAGATTTTTCCCTGCTTTGTGGTGTGTTTCTTTAAGATCAAACATCTTGCAAGGCCAGAAAAGCTAGAAAGTTTGTCAAGGTGAATGTTGAAACAACCAAGGACTACCAGTAGGGTGCCATCCTCAGGAAAAGAGGACAGCAGAATGCCTAGATGCTCAAGGAAGTTCCCTAGCTTACCTAGAGGATGATAAATAAGGGATAGTGTACCCTGATGGGAGAATGCAATGATTTTGAATGACTGTAATGTGCTGTTTCCAAATTTCTATATGTGTATTTCAGGTTTCTCTTACACGTAGTCCTCCAGGAAAGGATGGCAAGTGTCAGGAAGCGGGATTGGTGTTGACATCATATGACCGTACACTAATTGTCAAGCAAATCTCTAGTGAGGAGGTGGAGGACATGCACAACATTCTTTCAGAATACCACCAGGTATAGACTAATGTTTCTTAAGTCAAGTTGTTTAATAACACGTAAATTTAACTTTTGTTAAATGCAGTCTCTTGTTTGATGAAAATGAAACTGAATCTGATTCTGATTCACTCTGATTTTTTAACTAATCAATCAGACTGGATGCCTTTTATGGTGCTTGTTTGTCATTTTGGAGCTTGACAGCCCTAGTTTAAAAAAATTTACAAGCAACATTTTAATTTGATGATGAACTTTTCCTTTAATCCTTATTTAAGCTTGATGCATGAACCACAACAGAATAGGCCTCATTCATGAAACACGAGCAGAATGATATTTATGTTTTTATGTAAATTATTTGTATTCAAATAATTCATGAAAATTCATGGCATTGCATTCTAATAACACTGTATGTAATATAATAATATTTCACAAGTTTGTTTTCCCAAATAGCTAGGTAGGCTTCAATATATTTATGTTAAACTTATTTGGCTTGCGGTGCACAGTGGAGTGGTTTGAGGAAGTGGCTTCAACTCAAGCTCTAATAAACCCCAAGGAGTCTGAGGTTTAAGATGCATTTGTAAATCTTTTGGGAAGGTCCATTTACACTCAAATTACTTTGAATTTACTCATATATTTACGTATGTTTCATGAATGAGATCCAATGTGTGCACCTCAAGACACTTTAAAAATTCACAGGGTCTCCATTACACTACAAAACCATACTGAAAAAAAAATCTGATTTTTTTGCATTTAACAGATTCTCATGCATTTGGCAGACTTTGCTTGTCATTTGACGAATCAGTTGTTTTATAATATACAATAAATCATTACATTTATATAGCACTTTACTCAACACTCGAAACGCTTTACACTGCGAGGGGTGGAATCTCCTCAACCCCAACCAATGCGCAGCGTCCACTTGGATGATGCAACAGCAGCCATAGTCAAGTCAAGTCACCTTTATTTATATAGCGCTTTTAACAATACAGATTGTGTCAAAGCAACTTTACAGTATTAAATAGGAAAATAGTGTTAATTCAGTTCAGTTCAGTTTAAATAGTATCTGTGCAATCAAGTCGACGATATCGCTGGAAATTATGTGTCCCCAACTAAGCAAGCCAGAGGTGACAGCGGCAAGGAACCAAAACTCCATCTGTGACAGAATGGAGAAAAAACCTTGGGAGAAAGTCCAGTTCTCCTCTGGCCAGTAGTTCAATTCCAGGCTGCAGCAATGTCACATTGTGCAGACGACTCATCTGGTTCCTGTGGTCTTGTCCCGGCGGCCGTCTAGGAGACAAGTTCTTCATTGGGGATCTGTCTCTGGGGCTCATCTAGTTGTCCTGGTCGCCGCTGACATTCAGGGCTGTAGAGGTCATCTCTAGATGCTGATCCACCATCTGGGCTGGATACAGACTGGATCCGGGTGACTGCAGTGACCATCTGATCTGGATACAGACTTTATCTGGTGGCTACAGTGACCTTGGAATAAGAAAGAAACAGACTAATATTAGCGTAGATGCCATTCTTCTAACGATGTAGCAAGTACATCGGGTGATATGGGAAGTGTTCCCGGTTCCGGTTGTCCTAATTAATGCAGCCTAAAATCCTTTAATGGATTTGAATATTAGAAATGTGTTAGTGTGTTATGTGTAAGCCAGGTTAAAGAGATGGGTCTTTGATCTAGATTTAAACTGACAGAGTGTGTCTGCCTCCCGAACAATGTTAGGTAGGTTATTCCAGAGTTTGGGTGCTAAATAGGAGAAAGATCTGCCCAAACTCTGGAATAACCTACCTAACATAGTGCACCAGAACACCCACCACACACAAGCGTATCGATGGAGAGGAGAGTGTGATGAAGCCAATTAGTAAATGTGAGGATGATGGAGGAGGCTATTGGACAAAGGACAAGAGGCAGATTTGGCCAGGGTGCCTACACCCCTTCTTTTTTTGAAGGACTTCCTGGGATTTTTTTTATAATGACTACAGAGAGTCAGGACCTCAGTTTAATGTTTTAATCTCCTCTGCTGTTCCCTATTCTCTATATAGAGCACTATATTGAGGGTTGCCCATTTTGTAGTTGTGTCTGAATTCTGAGTGAACAACTTAATTTCTGACATTACCAAAGAATTATGGTAACACTTTATTTTAAGGACCAATTCTCACTATTAACTAGTTGCTTATTAGCATGCATATTAGTTATTGGCTGTTTATATTTATAAAGCACATATGAATGCCTTAATCGGCATGACCATATTTTAGATCCCTTAATCCTACCCCATACCTACATTTAACAATTACCTTACTAACTATTAATAAGCAGCAAATTAGGTGTTTATTGAGGCAAAAGTCGTAGTTTATAGTTAGTAAGTAGTGAGAATTGGACCTTAAAATAAAGTGTGACCAGAACTATGTCCAAAAATCCCAAAACTGAAGGGACATACAACAATGTACATTTGTTAATGTGTTAAATTAACACAATCCTAACAAAGAGAGGTATATAGAATTAAAATATAAATATAAAGTATCCTGTACAATTTAGCTCCAACACCGATTAACACACCTGAAGCAATCAAGGTCTATCTGTGCAGACAGTTATGCCTGTGAAGTAAGCCTGAAACCACTGAAGTACTGTACCTGTGATGCCCAAGTCAGAAAGAGTGGACATTTGGTTTAAAGGCTTGTTCCTGTTTCTTGTGCTGGTCCTTCTTGTCTCCAGTGATGCTCCCCACTGCCTGAAATCTAGCGTAGCGTTAGCTCTGGCAGGTCACGTTAGTCAAGCTCGCATCAGCTTGACTCTCAGCTGATCCCCATCAACCTATGGGAATACGACACCTATCTAAGCATTCATATATAAGGTCCCTCAGTATTATCAGCAGTTTTCTCATTGCTCAATAGCTTATTAAATGGTGAATTCGGCAGGCAAAACACCATCATCACTAGGAATCGGGAATTTAGAGAAGTGGAATTTGCTTCCCCAATGGTCTCACCTCAGATTCATACAAGTTCGTTAACTTGAACACGTGAATTCTGCGCATTGATTATAAGCTGCCTGATTCGGAAGTGACTGAGTTAGCATTATTTCACACATCTCTACATTATTGTCATGGACTTCACAAGTTATGTGACTGACTCACGAACAAGTCAGATGGGAACTTCATCCCCAAGAAGGATATCAAGAGATCAAGCATCCACTTCACAGCTGCTATGTTTCACTTCACAAGCTAAGTTCCATTTAATGCTCTCAGATTATCTGCAACATGCGTGTTGCTAAGGCTATCCTTGTTGCTTGGGCTCATTAAGTTGTTTTCAGTTAAATGCTTGTGCTAGTTCATGCGAATGTGCGGTACTTATCTGTTGTCACTGGCAACACGCTTGTCGCTGCAATATGCTGCGCTTAATGGGGGTAATGTCATTTCATGCATTCTGAGTTATTTACACTGTTAAGAGTTGGATTCTTGTGCGCATGCACGTGCAAGAGCGAAAGCGAGAGCAAGAGCAAGAGCGCACCGCTTAACGTGTTTCTTTCATGGTTACGGAAGTCTTCGGCAGCGCCACAGTTACTTGCTCGAGAAAACTAGGTCGTTCGAGAGGAACTACACTAGCCTGCCTCCGGCTGGAGAGAGTAGCCGCTTGCAGTCAGGGGTGGAATTAAAGCAGAGACGTCAAGTCAGACACTTTCTGCTCCTGGTAATGATGCTCTCGCAGTGTTTGCATACATTTACAGATGAAGTGAATTAAATGCAACATTTGTCAAATACACAGATGTTTCAGAATGTTTTCATAAAGCAACAGAAACACTTTTTATACTGCTTAATACAGCGCCATCTGTTCATGAATAAGTTAAACATTAACATATGCCATTTAAATACCAATTAAGTGGGGGTGTATATGCTTTCATCAGTGTTTTTTGAAATGTGACTCAATATAACAGTATAACAATATAACAATATAACTAAATATAACTACCTAAAAATGCTTTTACTGTTATATAAACAGATTTCTGAGCATTGGAATTGTTAGAATAAGCATGCAACACACATCGTGCTTGTCATCACAGAATCTAACCAATGAGAATAAAGTGTGTCGTCATCAAGGATTTTGCAGTGCCTGACCTAGGCGGCTGGTCCCGTTTTGCTCTCGCAGTACTTTGAATGCACATGTGATCATAGGGCGGCTGCAGCGCCAATCAAAGTTGGACAAAAGCATTTTTAATGTAACCAGAATGCATTGTTTTTGACAAGCGGCAGCCGATCTTTGCGGCGCCACATGAAGTCAAACAAGCCTAATATCTCTAAAGAGTGTGTTTTTGGATGTGAGGAAAAGATAACCTTATTCAGTGTTATGTGAACAGTGGATGCAATTTGTTTTTCCAAGGCAGCAACGAAGTTTCTCAAGCGTGTTTATTTGTTCCCGTTATTTCAGTGACAAATGTTTTATAACAAGGTACATTCTGACACTGGATTTGCACAGTGTCTGGAAGATGGAGAAGCCCCAGCGATCAAAGATCCCAGTCATATAAGAACTGCTGTAAAACTGCATCAAATGTCTGTGATTGTTAGTAAGTGCTCGCGACTCTTCAGCTCCGCCCACGGCTCGCCTCCAGGAGCGTGACTGTTTTCGGAGAGAATCGCAAGCTGTATCTTTCGGAGACTCTTTGGAGATGTGAATGATGCAATACTACACTATAGGTATTCAAGATTAACATGAGAATGGCCAAAACTGTGTGTGTTATGTCCCCTTTAACCTAGTCAAGTTGACTTTATTTTTATATAGTCTCAGCCTCAGACGTCACGCCCTCGGACCGTTGGCTGAACGTCTGATGTATACGGCACACAAAAGTGGAAACACTTCAGGAGTTTCGAAGTCGTCATCGGATTGGTTGAATTATACAGGATTTCCGGGAGACGTGCGTGTCAAGTTCTTTAACGTTCCGCTGGAAACAAAGATGCCGTGACGCCAAACCCTTATGAAAGAAGACAGCCGTCGTGTTTACAACTGTGATGACAAGCGCTTATCAGGAT